AAAATAACACCCGATGGAACTCCACTTGCAAAATGTTTGAATGTGCCTTACGTCAAAAAGATACTTTAAAAATGTTCCATGACAACCTTGCGGACCGTAATAAGGTTACGGCTTATCCGGAATCAAGTTGGGATACTATCAAACTTGTTACGGACATGCTTGATGTTTTTAAAAAAGCAACTATTTTTTTATCGGGTGTTTATTATCCTACAAGTTGTTTAGTTTTAAACCAAATATTTTTAATGTGTGCGAAAATAAATGAGTTTGAAATGAGGAGCACAATGTTTGCTAATATGATGAAACCGATGAAAGCAAAGTTAAAAAAATATTTTCAAGAAATGTCTCCCATTATTACTTGTTCCGCCGCTTTGAATCCGGCTCTAAATGTTGGGGGGGGGGGGGGGTTGAGACTTTAATTGAAAATATTTGTTACGATTTGGGTTTAATGGATGATGACATGGATTATGCATCAAAGGAAGTTTCAAAATTTAACAAAGTTTTTCAAAATTTGTTTGAAGTTTATTTAACAAAATATGGTTCAACAAACATTCATGACATGATGCAAAATATGGGGGCATCCGGATCCACTTCTCACCAAAATAACGAAACAATTAGGCTTTATAATACTTTGAGGAATGAAAATTCCAAACGAGCTCGGTCTAACACCCCAAGTAGCGAGCTCGGGAGGTACATTGGTTCCGATTTCTTGTCTCAAATGAGTATTCAAGAGTTTGAAAATTTTGATATCTTGGCTTGGTGGAAAGGAAAGGAAACCCAATTTCCGATTCTAGCCGCTATGGCCCGTGATCTACTAAGCTCCCAAGCTTCTACGGTAGCTTCGGAATCGGCTTTTTCTGTTAGTGGCAGGGTAATATCACCAAGAAGAACAAAACTAACCCCTTTGTCGGTGGAAGTGTGCATTTGCTTGAAATGCTACCTTGATGGCGTGGAAAGGATACAAGACATTGAACTACGAGAAGGCACATCGTTACATGCCGAACCACAAGTACATGAGGAAGAAGTAGCGATGGGAATGTCGGTGCCACTCACCCTAGAAGAGATCGAGTATGAGAGAGGATTACGCAACGACATGGCGGATGACGAATAAAAAAACGTGTTGATTATGTTTGAAGATGTATTAGTTTGACAATTTAGATGTTTTGTGTTTTTATGTTTGAAGTTGTATTATGTATTTCCAATATAAAAAAAACAAAAAAAAATGAAAAATAGGTTGAAAATTGCTCCAAAAAATGTGTTGATTCAAATTGAACAATTTTTTACATACATTATGTTTTTCTACATATACACAAACATAAAAAAAAAACCTTATTTGCGTCGAACCGGTTTTGAACAAAAAAAAACCTTATTAGCTCAAAAGAGTTTTATACTCTAAACAAAAAAAAAAACCATTCCTATTTTACACTTACTAGCTCAAAAAAAAAAAAAAATTATAAAACCTTATTTGCGTCGAACCGGTTTGAACCGGTTTTTTTATCCTTTTCCGAACCGGTTTTTTCCCTTATATCTGAACCGGTTTTTTGAGCCGGTTTTCGTTGAACCGGTTTTGAACAAACCGAACCGGTTTAAATAAGTTCGAATATTTTTTGGGGTGAACCGGATTGGAACCGAACCGGTTTTGGTGTGAACCGGTTTTGACTTGTTGGATTTGAACCGAACCGGTTTTCTGAACCGGTCCGGTTCATAAAAAAAACCGGTTTTTGCACGCCTACTTAAGAGAGATATCATATTTACCCGATCCAAAAAGAATTACCGGCCTAAAAAACGAAATAAAAGACATATTGGGCTAATAGGCCCCATCAGTGAAGCCCATAAATTAAGGATGTAGGATGTCGTCGTCAAGAATGAGAACCCTTACCAGTCTTCACAATCTCTTTTAAACCCTACCCCAATTATAAACCCTAAATATTTTCTCCCTAAATTCCAACTTCAAACACGCTAAGCATCCTGAAAAAAACGCTTTCAATGGATAAGCTCGAAAAGGCTCCAAAAGAGGTAAAATTTCCTTCTTTTAAGTAATTGTTTTCTTTCAATTAGTTATTTTGTTTATGAATTAGAAAAATCAATCACCGTCTTCTGAGTTTATATTATCAATCGACTAACTTCGAACTTAATACGAAATTGGAATGGCTATGCTATTCCTTCCATAAGTAGATTCAAATTTGTTTATAAATTTGGAACTCGATGTTCATGGAGCTTTCTTGATTTTAATCTGTTAGGTTCTGGTCGACATTGTGAAATTGGCACAAAAGCGAGAAATGAAAGGTAGTAATGGAGGCTGGAAGGACTTCTTGGCTGTTTACGACAAGAAGATTGGGGTCAGCTTGAGTGATCCAGCAAGAAGGTCCACCGAAGCACTGATTGCTTTCTTGAATACATTCAGTGATGTTGATGATTTGAAGGTTAGTGACATTCTTTTCAATGAAGCCAAGTTCCATCGAGATTCTGATGATAATAAATGTTTTTTCTTTTCTTTTTTCCATCAGTTTTTTGATAAAGTGGCAGAGAAACATTACAGCTTGGAACATATCGAAAAGAAAACAGATAAATTATCCCCAGAACAGGTTTGTTATGACTTATGAATAAATGCATAAGGACGATTTTTGGTTTTTATTTTTAATAAACAGATGAAATTTTCACATATGAAAAAATATTAATCCTCAAGTCTTCTTAATGTGTGCCAAATTCAGGAGCTTGTCTACAAGACTATTGGTCATCCACAATACGCACAAAGTTATTCATTTCCATCATATGAGGAGGTTTATTGATTTGACATATATACCCTTTCCAACATATAAAAAAAAAATTCGGTTTATAAAAATTTAAACTTTTTGAGTGTTGTTACAGGGGTGGATAATCACAAAGGAGAGAAAAAAGGCTAAAACAAATCGATCAAATGCAATGATTGCAATTGATTGTGAAATGGTGTTATGTGAAGATGGAAGTGATGCTTTGGTTAGGGTTTGTGTTGTGGATCGTGATTTAAAGGTAAAAATAAAAATTAATTGTGGTAACTAAATTTGGAAAAAAAAAAAGTCAACTATAATTATTGTTGACTTTTGTAGGTCAAACTTGATGAACTTGTTAAGCCTGAAAAAGCAGTTGCTGATTATCGAACTAATATAACTGGAGTTTCTGCTAAAGATTTGGAACAAGTTACTTGTTCATTACAAGATGTACAGGTGAGAGGGTAAAAAAGTAAATTTTTGTAAAATTGGAAACTATTTGGTAATTTACTATTTTGTCCCTGAACGTGATGTGTTTTTTCATTAGGATTCTATGAAGAAGTTGCTATCAAGAGGAACGATTTTGATTGGGCATAGTTTGAATAATGATCTACAAGGTAATAATAATAATAATTATATGAGTGTTTCTTTTTGACTTAATTGAGAAAGTTGGATATTTTACGAATTTACCCTTGTTTAACTTTTTTTTATGCAGCATTGAAGATAGATCACACAAGAGTAATTGACACTTCTCTTGTCTTCAAATATTGGAGTGGCTCCAATTTCAGGAGACCATCTTTGAATGATTTGTGTAAGGCAAGTTTCGAATATTCAAAAAGACGTAAATGCCCTTGTCACTTCCATCATTGAAAATTGCCTTAGAAAGCCAGTTCAATCTTGTCTATTTTGAATATTTTTATAGTTTTAAAATATTAGATTCTTTCTTCACTATGTGAAGAAACTTGCAAAAAGACGAAAATACCCTCGTTTGTTACACATGGCAGGACATGAGTCACGTAACGTTTCAACGAGACAAAACTGTAGTTTTTATGCCCACCCAAAAAAGTGTGTAACAAGGGTCACTCTTGTTCTATTGTGTGTGCAAAATGACATAAATGCCCTTTGTCATTTTTGCAGTCAGTTTTGGGATATGAACTTCGAAAAGATGGTGAACCACATGATTGTTTGGAGGATGCACGTGCAGCAATGAAACTTGTAATTGCTAAAATAGAAACTGGAGTTGATAAAAATATACCCTTGAATCAAAATAACGTGAGTTTTTTTATTTTTATTTTTTATTTTTTTTAATGTTTATTTCCTAAAATGCCCTTGATTGATAATTTAGTTGCAATTTCAGGTGGTTGAAGGTTCAGATGCAATGAAGTTACTTTGTCACCGAATACCAGTTGCCATTCCTGGAGAAAAATTACTTGAAATTATTCCTGGAGACTTCACAATTGAAGTGAAGGTTTGATAAAAATGAATTTTATTCTAATTAATTTGTTTTTTTTTCATATAAACAAATTAATGAAAATATTTTTTGTAGGAAAATAAGAAAGGCAAAGGAGACAAGTATTCAGCGTTAGCAGTTTTTAAGAATAAACAGGAGGCAGATAAGGTGTACGAGGGTCTTAAGGGTGATGAAATTAAAGTAAGCTACTAAAATTAAATAATTTAAATTAAATAATCAACTTATTTTTGTAATAATTTTTTTCAGGATTCATCTGGGCGTCCACAGAAGTTGATTTTATTTAAACTGGAATCAGGTCTAGGTGGCAGTTTGTATGTCCGGAAGATGGTCCAACCTGGCGGTAGTAACGTCCAGGTGGCAGCATCGAATAAACGGGGAGCCGAAGAGGAGGTGCCAGATCAGCATCACAAGAAGCTAAAGACAGAAGATGAGACGATGGAACTAAAACCACAAACAGTTGTATGTGAACATTGTGATGGTTACTTGAAAGAGATTGAAAGCTTGAAGAAAAAATTACATGAAAGAGATCAAGAAATATCAACTTTACACAAGATTATTGTTTCTCAAGCAAGAAAACAATCCGGAGTTTGACTTTGACTTTGACTTGGTTACATATGAATTTTGTTTTGGCGTCTTGAAATTTTGGGTCAAATGTTGTTCAAATTTATTATTTATTATAACAATTGTATTTTCAGATTATTTCTTATCTATCATGTTATATCAATATTTGGAAAGTCCCATCAAAAGTCAAAAAACAAAAGTCAACAACAATCTTTCATGGTCAATTTGACAACATCATTAAACAAAAAAAAAAAAAAAAAAAAAAAAAATCAATCGCTTAAATCGTCTTCATCATCTCCAAATGAAAAAACGGAAGCATCAGCAGCAATGGCCTTAATATCACCGGGATTCAAATTTGGAATGGGTTTGTCAGCCTCATTTTTTACAAGTGTGGGCTTGCTATTTAAGGAAAGTTGTTGGGTGTTTTTGTTCAAAGATGTTTTTTCTGATTCTATTTTGCCAGGTGGCAGTGTGGTAGAAACAGTAGATTTGTCCTCGTCCTTTTGATCATCATCATCATCACTGTCGGAAAACACATTCTCATCGGAATCCTTATTCCGGGTGGAATTGGAAGGATTGTTGTATGAAGGTGAGGAATCATTGGAGCTTATTAACATCGGTTTGTCACTGGATTTGTACTTCTCCGGAATCGTACCATCGTAATCGATCATTACTATCTCCACTTTAAACCCCGGAACCGGCAACTTTCTCTGCAAATATATAAAAGGGTAAAATCGTCATTTCCTGGTTTCTTCGGTCCCAAAAAGAAATATATGTTGTGCATATGTCTCTGTGGATAAACTCTTGTATACTTATTGTTTGCTTCATTTCTTGACCGAGAAACCGTCTGAATAAAACAAAATGACGCTTTTACCCTTACATCCAACAAATAGATATACCTTATCAAAATCATCCAAATCAGAACCCTGCAAAAGTACTCTGTTCTCCATCATTGTTGTATTTAGCCAACTGAAAAAAAAATTAGAAAAACAAAAAAGTCAACGATTTCAAAAAAGAGTTAGTTTTAAACTTTTAGAGCAAATTACTGAAATCGTCCCTATGGTTTGATCAAAATTGCACGTTTGGTCCCTAACTTTTTTTTGCACTCGGATCGTCCCTATGGTTTGGTCAAAAATGTACGTTTGGTTCCTAACTTTATGTATGTAAGGGACGAAAAACGCAACAAAATCAAACTATAGAGACGATCCGAGTGCAAAAAAAAAGTTAGGGACCAAACGCGCAACTTTGACCAAACCATAGGGACGATTTCAGTAATTTACTCAAACTTTTAATATTTACTGACCAATAAAAATCTCCTTGTCTGTCATGAAATTGGATCTTGAAGTCACCGGTCAGCTCGGTCAGCCCACGCTCCCCGGGCAGCGCGAAAACCACAATCCCTTTTTTCGGTGCACGGATCCAAAAATCTTCTGGCTGTAAAATTAGTTACTTTTTATAAATCCAAGAATAATTATAAAATTAACAAAATTATTATTCTTACCATAAGATTCTTTGTTTTTGGATGCTTTCTTGTTGTAAATAGAATCCCTGTAATGAAAAGTAAAAATGAAAGTAGGATTCTATAATAAACAGATAAATATAAGTAAGTTGTTTTTTTATTTATTTTAATTTAATCATTAAAAAATCATACATATTACACATACCATTATGATCAGATATGGTCAATGAAGGTCTGACCCAATAAGGGCATTCATGAAGCCGGAATCCCCTTAGCATACACCTGAAAAAGAATAACTTTCAGTAATTATTATTTCATGAATAAATAAGTAAAAAAGAATAAAAAGAGTTGTTTATTTTATTATTTACCTCCTGCCAGGTGGACTTTCGCCATTAAAATCTCTCAAGATCCGCTCAAAGTAGCTTACATATCGCTACAAAACGAAATATCATTAATTATTAATTGTTTATTTTTATAATTCCCAAAAGAATTTAAGAAAAATAAATATATATATATATAACTGACAATTTGGCTTGGAAGTATTAATCCTTTCCCATCTACACATCTTCTTTGGTTATAGTACTCGATACATTCTTCTGATGTTGGGAAAAACTGTAGAAGGTGTTTGATTAATAAAAGGAGAAAAAGAAACCAGCTTTGATGAAAGATATGTGTAAAATAGAAATAATAAAAGATTAAAAAGTAAAACTTACTTTTAGAAATAAAAGAAGACTACAAATCATTAAACCAGTTCTTGCTTTTCCAGCTTTACAATGAACAACCACAACATTCAGAATGTCCTCCTTTAACCATGAGTAAGCACTTTGACAAAATAATGGTATTAAGTGAATTGGAGGGCAATTATGGTCATTAAATGGAAAAGATGCAACCTGCAGTAAATCTGAAAGATCAGTTGTCTGCTTTGATATGATCTCTTGTTTGTGAAAAAGACGTAAATGCCCTTCTCATATTGATCATGGAAAACAGCATATACCTTTCCTGCAAATAGTGAAGCATCGTAGAGTCTTTCTGAACAAAGATTATACACTTTGTATCTATCCTGTAAAGCAAAATTAGATATCAAGTTCTTCCATATGGGATGCAAATTGAGGTTATGGGATTTGATGATACTGAAAAGGGTTAAGGGTTAAGGGTTACCTTATGATGAGTTTCAAAGAATTTGATCACTTCTTCCATATGATTCCTGTAGAATCCCTGCATTTTAGCTTTAAGACATTCATTAGAAAGAATGAAAAAAAGTTGATTGTTTAAGCTTGTGGTTGAGTTTAGTGGTTGTTTACCTCAAAATAACCAAAAAGACCAGAACTCATATCGCCAGCTGGAAACCCCATTGCGATTATGTTATCAGTGATATAAGTCAAATCTAAGTCAAACCCTCCTTCTTGGTATCTTCGTTTGTTTTGGGAGACCATATGGCGTGCTCTAACTTGAACTACTTTCACTGCACCCAAAGATGCGTCAACTAAACCTTTTCCAACAGATTGAAGAACAGCTGAAGGTGAAGATGCAGATGGAGATAGGGTAGAATTGTCATTTGGAGCAGAGGATTTTGAAGAAAATTGCAAACCAAACCCACTGGCGATTCGTGCAATGGCCCACTTTCCAGTGTTGTGACTTTGGGATTGTGAAGTGTTTTGTCGTGGTGTTGTGGGTTTGGGGAAATTTGGAACTGCATCTGAGGATGATATGACAGGTGGAGTTTCCATGGAAGATGGTTCAGTTGTAGCATTATTAGTCGGCTCAGAGATGGTGGTTGTAGAAGTTTTATCATTGGTAACTTCTGTTGGAGGTTGAGATGATGATGAGTTGGATTCTGAAGCCATTCTGCACATGAACAAAGTCCCACAAATGATTAATGCTTTCCATTTTCCAGTTAGAACATATATAACTCCATTGAATATCAATAACAGGTGTCATGCATCCATTAATTTCAATAAAATTTAAGCATCCATTTGATCAATTATCGTTACTCCTGTAACACTTCATTACTAGCTTGGAGCAGATACTATAAAATGGAGAAATATAACATCAATGTTTGAATTTGACGAGACATATTTGAAAAAAAAACAAATGAAATGGAAGCATTCATCGTCTGATGAATGTTATTTTCCAATTTAAAACAAGCAGCTAGCGCATGACTCAATATATGTTCAATTCTGGTAACAAAATCTCACGCAAAATGAACACTGTTCATAATTTACGACGCGTGATTCTGCTAGAAATGCACATCATATTATAGAGTAGTCATCAGTAATGTCATATGTAAGATAGTGATTCGATCAATGTCTCCTGTTTACATAACTCAAAACCACCGAAATCATACGAAAAAAACGAGATAATCTGACGGATTTCTAAGGAGATGCGAGCATTTGAAATGAATGTAGTAGATCATAAGGGATCTGATGACTCACATAGATCGAACAAAATCCTCGGTATCAGTCGTGAGCCTCAATGGTTCTTTTATCCGATTTGCAGATCGAAATGGAAGCAAGAGTCAAAGGTACGGCAGAGAATGAAGCGGAATTGGTAGAACGGTTGTCTCCGGCAACACGGCATGTATCTCCGACGATGGATCGGGAAAACCGGTTTTCGGGTTCAATTTGGCTGTAAGTTCTTGTTCTTCCACGTTTACCGGTCGACCTATGAGTCTGTGAGTATGCCTATTTTATTAGCGCTGGGCTTCGACCCGACCCGCAATTTTTTTTTTAAAGAGTAAATTACATGAATGGTCCCTATGGTTTGAGTAATTTGCGCGTTTGGTCCCTAACTTATTTTTTTAACTCGGAAGGTCCCTACTGATTGTTTTTATTACGTGTCTGGTCCCTATTGTTTGTTTTTGTTACGCGCTTGGTCCCTGTCATACCTAAAAAGACTATTATTTAAATAGAAAAAAATAATGCAGTACGTAAGGTAAGGTGAAAAGGGTGAGATTAGGGGTGTGTTTATTTAAATAAATTAAAAAATAAAGGGAAAAATAGATTTTTTAAGTAAGACAGGGACCAAGCGCGTAACAAAAACAAACAGTAGGGACCTTCCGAGTTAAAAAAATAAGTTAGGGACCAAACGTGCAAATTACCCTAAACCATAGGAACCATTCGTGTAATTTACTCTTTTTTAAATAATAAAAAATTAGCCTTTAACAGGAAATGACCAAAATATCTATAATTTTTGAATTGGGTCATTGCGAAATATAGATTTTTTGCATTTGCAATAATTTTTTTTTTTTTTTTTTCAAAATACTTCAAATCTTCATAATTTTTTCATACAAATACTCTTTCTCTTAAACTTTTTTCCATTGTATTTTTTATATTAGAAATTTTTCATGGACATATTACATTCTAAATTTGGATGTCGAAAATACATAACTTTTTTAGTTTTAAAATAAGCTAGTTGAAAAATATGAAAAAAAGCTTAACTTCAATCATTCTTTGTAATAAGGGATTTTAATGGACATATTAGACTTCAAATTTAGATATTGAAGAATCATTTTTTTTTAACTCCAAAACAGATTTTTCAGTAAAAATTATAGAAAAAAAAACTTCATATATTTCGCATACGAATTTGATAACAATCATCATACAATTTGGGTTTTCCTAATCAAAATGGTGTCCTACAATAATCTCCAAAACATGTTAAAAATACATTTTTGTTTTTATATACAAACTTCATAACAGTCATCATGTCATTTAGGTTCTTCTAATCATAAAGATGACCCTACAAAAAAAAAATTGCAGTCAACCAAAATTTTTATACATGTCGACCTACCAAAATCTCAAAAATAAAAATACATTTATGTAGATGATGACCTACAAAAACTGTAGCTAGTTTGGTCATTTTTATTTTTCGGGTGATTTTTTAAAAATTGTTATTATAGTCATTTTCTATCTTATATAATACAGACATGAAAATAATTATAACACTAAGACTAAGGGGAGTGGTAACACTTTTAACACATTATCATGTCAACTTTTTGAGTGTCATCTTATTTTTCTTCGTTTAACACATAATCTTACCATGTGGTAAAGAGTGGTAACACCCTTAGCACTTCATTTTTTTATTTTATTTTTCCAATTTAATTTAGTTACTTTATTTTAATAAACAAATATTTTTTTAATACTACACAAACATTTTATTTATTTAATTAATATGATATTAGTTTTTTTTAATGATACGCTCATATTAAATAAAAAGAATTACAATAATTTAAAACACTGATTTAATTTATGTTATTGTTTGATTACAAAACTTAGACATATAAACAAAAGGCCAAGCTTTATTTTGCACAAACGAAACATATTATTTTAATAACAAATTTATTAACATAATTTCTAATTGTTTAACAACTAAAGACTAAAGTAATCCAAACCCAATAGCCAACCCATTAACGCCCCCAATTAGGCACCGGTTCTTTAAATCGGTTCGGTTCACTTCTTATCCAAGCAAAACCGGTTCAGCCTCAAACTGGTTCGTTCAAAACATTAGTCGAACCTATCTAAACTGGTTACACCGATTCTAAACCGGTTCAATCGGTTCGGTTCGGTTCCATACCGGTTCCAAACCGGTTCACTCGATATAAACCGGTTCTAAACCGGTTTCAACGACTAAAATCTCGAATGGGTGTAAACCGGTGGTCCGGTTCACTGTGGATCGGTTCAGCATAAACCGGTTTACCGATTCTTTGACCGGTTCGGATCTTGAACCGGTTTTTTTATGCATGCCTACCCCTAAAGCCTTTAAAAAATACCTAATCCCAATTTATTTTGGATATGTGGGCGGCAGCGAAGGAAGAACTAGGCATGTGTCTCTTCCGTTGAATTTTGGAAACATTAATCCTATCTTCCTTCTCATCTTCTGCAAACGATCACAAATCGATGGTTTACAAAAATGATTCATCATTTTCTTGGTTTATCACTGCATGTTTCATCCGTTCCTGCAAGCCCTGATCAAATTCAACCCTTATTCTCTCTCTCTTCTCGCCAAAATTGTAACGAGGCTCTGGTGGCGTCTTAGCGAGAGCTAGGGGTGGTGTTCATTGATCACTGGCGAGCCAAGTGGCGATCCCCACTCCTCTTAATCTAATAAAAAAATATGGTAAAAAAAGCACAAAATTTATGGAAATAATTATTTTTTTTGTTGCAATGTTGACCATTATTCAACACTTAAGAAAAATGTACAAGACACTAAGTTTTCAATTTTGACACTAGATTTTTAATTTTTCTTTTCAAAAAACAACACCAGTCACACTAACTTTTTTCTTTAATTTTTAAGATAGATTCTAGCACTTGCTTGTCTCTCGCTTAGACTTTAGAAAAGTAAAAACAACACCGAATTTGGTGTTGAATCTAAAGTCTAAACTTACATTTCGACAAAGCACAAAATTTTGTGATTATAAACATTGTCATGGTACTACTGTACTTATAAAAAACAATCATTCAATTCAAACATATTCTATATTTATATCTAATTTTGCCACAAGAGAAATACAATTACTTTCCGACATACATATAAAAATTACTTTCCGACATACATATAAAAACCAATCAAACTATCTGAAATCACAATACAATAATAATAGATAAATATCAAGAACCCGCCATGAGCTCATTGATATTAACATAAGCCACCAATTGAGAGGATGCATGTTTATCCACCCCAACATAACTCATTCGCTCCATTTTGGTATCCATTGATGAAATCGTTCCTAACTAGATACTGCTTATCTGATCATTGTTAACGCTGTTTGAAATACTAGGGTTCTCATTTTTGTATTTGACCGGGTAAGAAGCCATCAGGGCAATCCCGCATTTACCACTGCGTGTCCCAACCACGTTACGCTCCATCTTAAAGTAGCCATCCTCGCCCCAATTTGTCCCCCATGAGTTCCTAACAAGCCAATAGTCCTTCCCATTTTCGGAACCATATCCCACCACAACCACACCATGGTCCAATGAAGTCCCACATTTACCCGTAAATACACCCTGCGAAATTTGTATAAATAGTGATATCTTTTGTTAACGGTTGAAAAAGATATTTATATATTGAGAAAGTTAAGATAAAGGTTGTGTTTAGCGCACCACAGCTTTTTTATGTTGTTGCGTTTGGTAAACCAAAAACTAGTTTATAAGGTAGATAGCTTTTTAAAAAGCTACTTTAGTAGGTTTTTTAAGAGATTTTATAAAATTTTCCAAATACACCCTTTAATTAATTATAAAAACGAGTATTATTACATGTGCTTTTATATAATTTTATATATTTTAGTTAGCTTTTCAGCTAGTTTTACTAAATATTATTTTTTATCAATAGCTTTTCAGCTATCAACTAGTTTTTTATTAGTTGCTAGCTTTTCAACTATCCGATAACTTTTCAATAGCCTATAATACAAGACAAAATGCAAAAAAGAAAATACATATCTTAAAGATATTCATATATTGAGAAAGATATATTAAGATTAGAAAAACAGCATGACAATATTTTTTTTGCTGTATCAAAAAAAAAAGCATGACAATGTTTTTTTGATAAATTATAAAATATAAATGTAATCTGATTTTTTTGAAACCTCGACCTTTGTCTCAAAGGAGTGAAACAACTTATAGAATTCAAAATATTATAAAGGTTTGTTTATAAAAAAAAAAAATCAAAGTCTAGATAATTAATCCAAAAAATAAAAAAATTATCTAGATAAATAGTTTTTAATGACCCGAAAACTATAATATAAAATATTTAAATACTAAAGAAATTTTAGATATATTTAAATACTAAAGAAATTTTTGAGATTACTTAATCCATTTTATGGTATATATTAAAAAGATGTTGTGGAAGTATCTTAATAATAAAACAAAAACAAAATAAATAAATAAATAAATCAAACTGTTTCGCATGCAGAATTGCAGATGGATTCGACTAACCTCTGTGTATAACTGAAAAGCCATTCCAGAAGCTTCGATTCCGACACTAACGGGTTGATGAGCTACTGCTTTCATCAAAGCTTTCTCGTTCATAGGCGGAACATCTTCATACCCATCTATGCTAACAATTTTTGCCTTATTCTACACATCAATTTAACAACATTATGATTATAGACAAATCAAAAATCACAAATCGATGTATTCATCATGTAATGTTGTCAATGGAATTCAGTTACTTACTCGAATCGGGTCGCATTTATCGCCTACACCTTTGTAAGGATAGTCAGATTCGGTGTCAATTCCGCCATTAGAAACGATGAACTCGAAGGCGTAATCCATCGTCCCGCCATTGCAACCGCTGTTGTATTTATTGTCACAGTCAACAAGCTCTTGCTCCGACAAGCTAATCAGATCGCCAGTGACTATTTTGTTGATTCCCTCCACCGCCGCAACGGTTGAGAACGCCCAACAGCTCCCTGTACAATAACATCATTTAGGTTAACATGATTACAGAAAATTGGATGAAAATCGAAAAAAAAAAAACTCAGATTAATTAATTAATTAACAAATCATACCGCAGCTTCCTTGATTTTTGATCGGAGCAACGGCGCCACTTCTTCTCCAGTCAACTTCCACCGGCAACATCTCGTTTTCCTGAACCGCATACCGTTGGCTAATCCCACCTCTCTTCACCTTAGCAATCCGACGATTAGGATCAGATTTCGTGCCTAAATACATGGAACGATACTCCTCGTTGGTGACGTCAGCAAACTGGTTTAACCCGACCTTGTAAGTCCGGTTGCCGGAAGAATTGTGTTCATCGATGAACCTGAGGTTATCCTTGAAGATCTGAAACCTCTTCTCCTTCTCTCCCAACGCATTATACGCTTTTCCATGGCGGAGCAGCCACAACTCGTACGTACTCCTGATCTCCTCCTCTGTCCTACTAGGTGGCGATTTCTCTACACGAAATTCACCGGAGATGTTACTTGTTGAATACGTCTGAGAGAAAATGAGACAGAAGAGAAAGGCATACGTAGTTGCAGCTGTTGTCGCCATTGTTATGAAGGAGAAAAGAATAGGGCTGTGAAGACGTAAAGGGATCCCGTTGGCTTTAAATAGACTAACTTTTCACCTACGTATAGTAAAATTGAAAAAAAATATATGCAAAAAAGTTATTTATTATTATTATTATAAAAAATATATATAACTAATATCAACTTTTTTATTTAAATCAAAAAATTAAATCTTTTTATGTCACGTAAATCGTTACACGAATGACTAAACTGTATAATAAAAGGAAAGTTTATTATATTAAAATGTAAAAATAAAAATACTTTTTATGAATAGTAATAGAAAAACATTAATTTGTTGTTTTTTTTTACAATTAACACATATAAAATATAGTATAAATATACAACCGATCCATGGGTTTTATAGATTTTTTTACGTTTAAAGGAGGGCATTTTTGTTGATTTTAAAGGTTCTATACGAAAAGTAAAAATAGATTCATAGAATTTTAGAACCCCGATAAATAGCAACAAATACTTATGAATTAGCAACATATAGCAACAAAATTGCTACGATTACAACGAATTATAGATAGATAAGAGATATATTAGCTACAGATTAGTGATGAATTTATGACTTATAATTTCGGGCCCCTTCATGATGCGGATCCTGTACCAGATCACACCCCCGACACCTCCTCATGACCAGCCTTCAGGGGCGGATTTGTAGTGGTTGCACGGTGTGACACAGACAACGTCTATTTTTCTTGTACACAGTGGAAAAAATTTCAATTTTTTAATATTTTTTTTCCTGCACTGGCAACACTCACTTGAACTCGGCAACACAAAATATAAATTCTTGCGTCCACCCCTGCCAGCTTTGGCTTTAATATGTTAGAATCAGGTTGGCGATTAATCATTTAACAAATTAATAAAATTAACTAATTTGATTATTTTTTCCAGGATTTTATAGTTTTTATCACATGTTATCATTTGAAACCGATGAAATTGAAGAAATGAATTTGGCTGTGGTTTTTGTGAAATAGAAGACTATATTGAATCTGGCCATGCTTTGGCTCACCATGAAGTTCATACAAAATTAGAATTAGAAAATAATAATAAATAAATCACATTGAGAGATTTGTTAGATTGAATTGATATGAACTTGACTATGATTTTGGTTCAGAAGTGAAGCTTGATTCATTTCTGTTATTTATTTATCTATTTTTTTAATTTCAAAATTTATTTTATGAGGTTATTTAAAATTCTAGAAGGTAGATTCTTATAGGAGAGGTGGCAGCAGGGGAAGGTGACAGCGTGTCAGTCAAATAAAGTTTTAGCGGGAAAATGACGTGGTCCTATTATGAGGGAGCAGAGCAGAAGGGCGATGATGATTCATGGAAAAATAAAAAAATAAAAAATAATAAAAATAAAAATAAAGAAAATCATTTCCGAGGGACGTTGTTAACTGCGCCTTATCTTGAAAGGCCATGTTCCGGTTAGTGGGAAAGTCTGCTAGAGATCTTGCCGCCATTGTTGTCCAATCCGGTAAGGATAACTTTTTATGTGACAAAATAATTGTTAGGTTGTTAAATTATATACTTGAAATATCAGAAGCAACCAACTAAAAGAGTACCTAACTCTATTTTAACAAAAGGATACTTTTTAGTTTTGGGGTTTCAAAATTTATAGTAGAAAAAAAGATATAAGTTTATGAGTACAGATTAATGGTAATCAACATGTGATGGCTTAAATGAGTAAGATTTAAGTGTTGTTTATTTTAAAAAATATAAAATATCCATAATTTTTTTTCCAATGTCTATAGAATATGATATCGACGTAGGGAGAATTTCATATATGCCCTTCTTAAATATCAAAATATCATATTTATCCAATTTAATTTCTAAATATCATATTTACCCTTCATAAAATTTTTAAATATCATATTTACCATTTATAAAATTTCAAAATATCATATATGTCCTTTTTAAACATCATAATATTATATATGCCCTTCTTAAATATCAAAATATCGCATATGCACTTTTTAAACATCAAAATATCAATGGTAATATCTAAAATATCCTTCATCTACAATATAATCAACAAAAAAACTAAACAATCAAAATATACATTTCATAGAGAGGGTTGAAGATGAATATTTTTATTTGTCAAGAGGACGACATTTCAACAATTTAGAAGTTCACATTCCATTATTATAGACGGAAGGATAATATCGTTAAAATTTTTAATTATTAAAGTAATTTTAAGTTATAAAAAATGATTATAAAATATTAAAAACATTATAAGAAAGGATTTGGGCAAATATGATATTTTGAAGGTTTATAAAGGGTGAATACGATATTAAGAAATTAAGCTGGATAAATATGATATTTTGAGGTTTAAGAGGGGCATATATGAAATTCTCCCTAAAATGTATAGTTTGTGAAAAAGAGACTTTTTATTTTTAAATCGAGAAGCGGTATAAATGATATTAAACTATATTGATCATAAACGATATAAAATCGACAAACTAGATGTACGTACACTTATTAACCATATTGATTTTAGATGATAATAAAAGACGGTGGCGATGCGATTGAGGTGTTAATTGTGATGATGGTGGTGATAGTGGCAACAATGTTGGGGAAAGTGGGAATGTCGTAGGTGGTGGTGGAAAAAGAAACATAACCATTTTTTAGGTGATGGTTACAAGGTGGTTGAACTTTGACCTAGGCATTTATGGACCACATTTTTTTATAACTCAATGTTTTTTTATATAAAAAACCGTTTAAGAAAAATCAAATCTAAAAAATTTATTCTAACCATTATAAATAGACACTTAAATCTCAACATTTCACCACACACAATACATTCTTTTATCTCTAAATTTTTTTTTCAAAAACATCATGTCTTCACCTAGTCAAAAAAAAAAAAAAAAAAAAAAAAAAAAAAAAAAAAAACCCTTCAAACCCCAACAACACATCTCCATCAAGCATTTCATCATCGACTTGTTATCGACCTTTACTCGATCAACTCATCCATTCAACACCTAGTTACTATCATAGACTATAGCTCCACAATTGTATCCACTCTATCCATACTCTTCTCGATTTCAATCTCAACATATACCTTATTCCAATCCCAACCCCAAACACATTTCCAATCCAAACCTCGCCGCCTAGTCGATAAGTCAACCGATTTTTTCGATGAAGGACATTTTCAACCCATACAAGAAACCGAAGTTGACCCAAAAAGAAAAAGGTAAAGAACAGCTAACAACAAAATGCCAAGGATAGACGAATAAAGAAGAAAAGGCATTGGTGCAAAGCATTACTTGATGTATCAGAGGATCCGACGATAGAAAAACGACCAAAGTGGTGTGACATTTAAAATTGGAGTTTGGAAAAGTTTTGTGCCCGAATGAATAAGGAGTACCGCTCTACTAATCAAGTATACTCGAAATGGAGGACCACAAACAAAAATCCAATGAAGTTCAATGGTATCTACATGAATGCGATCTGCAACCCGCAAAGTGGTGCAAACGAGGTGGATGTCATAGCAAATGCTTGTCAATTTTATAAGATAAAAGTCGGTAGAGCTTTTGCGAATGAGGTGGTTTAGGAAGTTGTGAAGAACAAACCAAAATGACTTGCTCCAAAAAGCATTAATATTTTGCGTGTATGTCCAAATGACGTAGAATTTCCGAGTCAACCCATAGCCAATATTCTGATGCGCATATTGGGATTGACCTCAACAACGATGATCCATATGAAGTGTCAACTTGTCCTATGGGACGAGATAAAACAAAAAAGAAGAAGTTAAAAGGTGTTCAAAGTTCATCGAGTGAAATGAAGGCGATGAGGAACGGGATGCAAGCGTTGGACAATAAGCTTGATAAATATTTGGAACGGGGAAAGGAAAGAGAAATGAATCGTGTGGTAAAGCGTTTTTTTCCAAAATGAAGTGAAGTTGCCCGAAAAAGATCGTCGGATTATGGCAAATGAAAATACTAAGATTGTAAAACAATATAATAGTGATAAGTAGTAAGATTTATGTCTTAAATCTAGTTTTAAGTCGAGTATCAAGGCGTATTTTAAATTTTAGGTATTATGTCATGTTTTTAAGTATGAATTCATGTTTTATTTTATTAAGTCGTATTTTAAGTTTGAATTTATTGTAAACTTTTTGATATGTTTAAGTCTAAATTATCAAGTGGGCTTTTCTCTGTCTTTGATTCGAAATTGGAATCTCATTATTGACAAGTTTAAGTCTAAATTATCCAGGTGGGAGATAGATATGCTTTCCATGGGAGGTCATGCTACATTGATTATTTCGGTTTTGGGCTCGTTAGGTACTTACCACTTGTCCCTTTTTGCATGCCTATTCAAGTCAAGAAAAAATTAGAACCCTTACATCTAAATTCTTTTGGGGAGAAGAAGAAAATTCTATAAAAATCCCTTGGATTTCTTGGAATTTGGTTATTGCTTATAAAGAAAAAGGTGGAATCCAAATCGGTAGTCTTGACGCTTTAAACCATGCTTTATTGTTGAAATGGAGGTGAAATTTTGTTACGAGATTGGTTCTTTATGGGTGAAACTTATTTCAAAAAATAATAAAAATCCATTTGATGATAGTCTTATTCACGGTGGTGGTGTTTGGGCATGTATAGTTGGTTCTATTAATACCATGCATGAGAAAGGTATTATTCCTTTATCCTCCCTTAAAATACGAATTAGAGATGGGAGATCTACGAGTTTTTGATCTAATATTTGGATTGGTGATTTACTTCTAAAGTCCCGTTTTCATAGACTTTTTCAATTGGAGACTATAAAAAGATTGTTTAGTTCATGATCACGTAGTTAGTGGTCATAGTTGGGCTTGGATTCGACAGACTACAAGGGGAGTTGATGAGTCTCAACTGGATGATTTAAATCTTCTCATTGGTGATTTTCAAATTTCTAATGATAGTCATTGCTGAAAATAGAATATAGATGACATAGAAGACTTTAAAGTGTGCACGACTTGAAGATATATTGATAATGTTACGCTTCCGGAAACTAATACTCCCATTAGATGGAATCGATTTCTTCC